ATAATTACAATCGTAAATTATCGTTGACAGTAGGGCTATGTGCTACATTCGATACATTTACCTGACATTTTCGCATCGAGTTAGACCCTAAAATCGTCTTTTTGTTATAATTTTTGTGTTTAATTATCGTCAACGCCATTCACCATGAGGCCCATATATGCCTTGGTTACCCTAGCCCGTCTAAGCCAAAAATTGGAGCATCGAATACTTAGTAAGTTCAATGAAACATAGATTGCTTTCGGTTTGCCAAGCGAAAAGAGATACCAGCTCGCTACTTTGCGCTTTTATTGTTCAACCAATTGTCGATATAGTAAATAAGAGCTTTGATAATACACACTTCACATTAAATTCAGTCGGAGAAAAGAATCCGGTAATATAAAGCGCGCGAAATTCTCAGCCTCAAAAAAAGCAGAAACTTTCATAGAAACACAGTCTAACTATTAAAAAAAGAAATGGAATGGCCGATATAGCCCCATCTTTCCCTAACATTTAGTGATTGGCATTAGAAACATTAGAAAAGTGAGACGATAAACAAGAGCAGCCGCTATTTTATGCCGATGGGGCGATTTACACAATAAGCTGATGAAAGAACTTTTTATAAAATTCTTGTAGTCGATCTGTGCTAGCGGGATATGACCGATCATATAAAATGGATTCCGCGTTCTATGTATCGTAGCATACTGGGTTTTTTTTTTTTTTTTTTTTTCTATTAATTCACTATTTTAGTGGGTTTGCATTATCTATCTCATATTGTTAGTCGCTAATTACAATACTCGTTCTATATCTGCATGGACCACTGACATAGCTATCCTTCACTGATGTTCTTCTTGAAAAATAATACGTTTTAGTAAACCTATTTAAGGCAAATAATCCTCGACGAACATAGCAGTTTATTTTGTTCCTTCTCATGGCTCTCCGGTTGTCGTTAACAGGACGTTAGACGAATTTCGACCCATATTAACTCCATCCTTTGTTGTTACATTATGCTATACACCCACATTTTTAGGAGCCTCATCAATCACCAACAAATAACATCAAATTACTTGTAATTATAGTAAAAATTATCTAATTAGTGGCTAAAGGTCCACAAGGAATACAGAAATATTCGAAAATCATTGAAGCCGGCAAATGGCTTCCGGTATTCCAAAATTAAGGGTCAATCAAGTTGGTCTTTGATTGCGTCAACATATCAATCAGTCAGGCTGCATATTATTGACGTATGATTATGTCGTAGGTAAATGAGCCGTTGAAGCTTGTATTCTATAAATATAAAATACAATAAAAAAGAAGCTGACATCGTCGATTATCTTCAGTCGTAAAGGATGTTCACTGGATACAGAAATCTAACATATACTTGTCATAAAATTATGCGTTTAAATAACCAAGCTTATATATATATATATATATATATAAGCTTATATACTACGTATAAGTTAACCAAGCTTATTAGGCAAATTAGTTTCACAGTTGCTGGGGAAGTAAGTGATTATCAGTAAATTAGAATGATTGGGCCTGCTCCTCAACTTCAACTTAGCTTCACTATTTAGCCAGCAATTATGCTAGTTACTGTACTGGTAGATAGCAATGTTATTAAGATGAACAATTCTTCATTCGATGGAAGGATACGTTATAGTCTCACAGTCTAAGGACAACTTTATAGGCAATAGATCCATATAGTTATCTATAGTTATCCATATCTCATTACTTTACCGTATTTCGTCACCCTAAATTTGTCCATTTCATTGACTAATCAAGGTTTGTAAGTCAATTTGGCAGAAGTAAACAAAGCAAAATTTGTGCAGGCCGTAGACATAGATTAAAATACGATTGTAATATTAGGTAAAATTAATACATTTTCGAATTTGACATAATTTCGCGCGCTATGCGACACACGGCCATTTAGCAATTTTATTTCGAATCGCTCGAACGTAAACAAGATTCTATTTTGTCATTAAATGATTACCGTCATTGATCACGCAGGTGTTACTAAGTTGGTTATCTTCGGCGTTCCGTAAAGGTTCATGTTCACCTACCGTAGTTACCGCAAGTACTCTCGATTACAGCGAACAAACGGCGCTTTTAAAACAGACTGCTTTATGTAGCAGTTGTCTCAAGGTCGCTGGTCCAGCGATTCCCGTACCAGTGAAAACCAGTGAATTGAGGGATATGGTCAATGCGAAGGCAGGACTGCGTAGACGTCGTATAGAAGTTGCGGCGGTAAGAGTGTTAGGGGGCATCGGTATCGACGGAGGTGGCGGGGGCCACACCAGCGGCATAGATTGCTTTGCCAACAAAAATTAGTTCGCTGCTTTCTGAAACTGAAATTTTCAGGTGCGCCCCTTTGTCGTCTCGACCATCCTTGCGTAGACCCAGCCGTATGATGATCTGGGGTGCCAGCTACGGGGCTTTGGACACGTTGCGAGCGTGGACAGTTAAGCAACCAATCAATCCTGCATTGCGCGAATCACATGCTGGATCTCGAATCAAGTTAGGTAGCTGTTTGATTCCGATAGATGTTTTAACATTATCGGGCATCCTATATAATTTCGCAATGATCGGAGCCCTCAATGTCGCTCGAAGCTGCAGCACAGCTGAAACGTTTGTTGTTTATATCATTACGATGTTTTTCTCGATCCTGATACGCCCATAATTATCGTTGAGCAGGCACCAACGAAAACTTGAAATCTTTCACGTCGGTGCTTTAACAGCAACGGCGTAGATAATGTTTCGGGGGCCACGTATTACGCTACAGTTTTAGCGGCTATCGGCACCAGTCTCCGACGTCCGACGTTTGATCCAATTATCGAGTTACTTGTTTTGTAGTCGATAGCTCAAGCGGCATCCGTCGCAGGAGGTCAAACATCACTGTTGACTACTGGCGGAGTTACGACTAACACCAGCATATCAATCCTGCCATGAGTTGTTTCGTCGACACGCAGTAAAAAATGTGGCTGTTATATATACATATATATATAAGTATAGTCTTTAATCTGCCCTTCAGGGTCACGGAAATCGTGTCGGCACTAACTTTAAGGTAAACTGCAGAGTAGAATTTCCGGATTTGCTTGTCCGGGGTCACTATGTGCCTTTGCTACGTTTCATCTTCAGTAAACTATTTTTGTACTCTAGTTCGTTGTTTTCATGCACAAATCACTGTTTTAGTTTTGGCTTATTGTCTAAAAAAAATGGGTACACCACTTGTGCTTTTGTGCCCCACTCTGTTTCCAGTCGACACCCGCAGTCACTGCACAATTACTCTTCGGTCTGTTTTAGTCCGTTTTCAAAAGCCATCATACACAGTTGATCACGAAATCGTGCAGTACGTCAGTGGAGGAGATGGTAAATGGTTGCTGACAAATGCTGCAGGAACACTGAAGCGTGCTGATGGGACAAGTAATTGCGGATTGATAAAGGTGCGATTACTTTTGTAACAATAGGCGCGACTGATATAGCGATCCTGTGGGCAATTCTGTGGGAATGAGAGATCAGTAGGTGACCGTTGTCCTAAATCGGTTGCTTACCCATCTAGCCACTGATAATAATACATAGCAGTGAATATAACGTTGTCCAAAGGGCCAGATCGTTACTCAAAAAAAAAAAGGCTGTTAGTAGATGAATCACTTTTATTCAAAGCTGAACATGGTAACGACGCCAGGCTCTAGGTAAGAGCATTCAATTCACAAGATATTTTAATCTATCATCGTCTCAGTGGAAGCCCCAGTGATTTCCCTATAAACAGTAAGTCGCTATTTGCCCCATACAGTTCTGGTTTCATTATTACTAGTCGAATTTGTGCATCTCGTGAACGAACGTAACCCTTAAGTTGGGTTACAATTAGGTGCAGGTTTCTGGTACGAAAGAATACATATGATACGACCCACTTTATTCAGGCTTTTCGGTACAACATAACAACACGATTGCAATAATAGACTGAGGCCAACAATTATCATTAATTATTATTTAATATGTATGCGCAAATTCTCGTAGTGCTATTTCTCACCTAGAAAGACACTTATGTGCTCGTACATCACGGAGGATCGTTTATTTGTAAGATCCATCTGTTTATTATAATAGTAATTTAGTTCCTACTTGAATAGGTGCCGCATTGAAAAACATCACTGCCAAAAGAGACTCAACAGGTTCTCCAGAAAGCTATACGATTCTAATATACCTGAAAGTCATCAACTTTAAGAAAGGTAAATAGGCCTAGAGCTACGATAACGATTTTCTCGATCTATAATTTAGTCAACACACGATTGGCCCTTTGGCGTGTTTGTTCACTTGCTAGGACCTCCATTTTTCGGCCCAGTTACGTTTTAAGAAACCTAACCTCAAGGCTAGTCGCATTTTTTTTTTACTCATAGGCGCTGAGTGTATGTACGACAGAGAAAATTTTGAAGGTATTTGTCTATTCTATTTTGATCTAATCTTCGTAGAACACGGTGCTTTTTTGAGCTTAATAAAATCTCATGAACATCAACGATAATAAATTTAAATAAGTCTACGTTCCGAAATAACTGATACACGTACTCCTTTGAATGAAATTTATTCATTTTAATTTACACCGACGAGTCTCACTTATCCTCCAAGTTCCTATTACCCAGTATGCCTATCGCACGTGATACAACGAATCGTTCGGGTCATCAAGTTAGCTTGCACACTCATTTAGAAACTACTTGCAGTCTCTTTAATCATCACGTTTGTCCAAACGCGTTGTTTGGACCGTGGAGTTGCTTCGAACGCGGCCAGCTATCTGCTGGGACTCTTGGCGGCCGTAATAAGCTCCGCCAATTACCCGAATGTAACTATTTTTTATTATTTAACATCAGTTCATTCTCCTAACAGGGGTGATGCGCCTGCAAATAGAACAGTACCGAATGGCAGCAGGGTTTGATACACTGATAATGCCTTTTTTTCGCAAACAGAAAATGTATAGAGATGAGACGAGAGCTGAGAATATCACAGAGGTGAAAAAAGGTATAGAACTAATGAGCAATCTAATAAGGTCCATAGCCGAGAGCAGTGACAGGAGCCTTAGCGTAGGCGGCAACGGGGGCAGCAGCAACGGTCTTGACCGCCACGGGGGCGGCACCAATGGCCTTAATTGCAACAGGCGCGGAGTTGTAGAGAGCTGCAGCCGGAGCCGAAGGAGCAGTTCCGGGCTCGTTCGTGTGGATGGTGGCTCGGAATCCAGCAACATCAGCAACGTAGTCAACGCGACGGGAAATGCCACGAGCATCGACGAACGAGTACGAACCCTTTTTGTTGTTGTAGGCATCAGAGACCTCATGGCGAGCCTGCTTAGTGCCATACTCATCGACAGACTCATAACCGAACTGGTATGGCTGGGGAGGGTAGGCGATGTCTGCCTTAGCCACTACAGGGGCAGCAGCGATCTTAGCTACGGGGGCGGCTGCAGCGTAAGCCAGAGGCGCAGCGTATCCAGCGGTGAGAGCTGGGGAAGCGTATCCGTGAGCCAGAGCAGGGGCGGCAAGGCCGTAAGCGGGAGCAGCGATGCCTCCGGCGTAGGCAGCAGCCGCAGCCGCAGAGGCGACGATGATCTGCAATACAAAGAAAAACAAGACAGAAAATCAGAGGTCACAACGCTATCCACAAATATTCCGGCTCAATAGTATCCTGGGTTACTAGTGTTCTCACTGCACTCCGATCAACACAGCGATGAACACATGTTTTTTTCTCTATCTCGAAATGAGTCTTTTTGAGTACTGCCGTTCTCAAAGGCGGCTCAACCACAACGAGGCACAAGTGTTGTACTTGTTGTTGAAAGGCGTACCTTGGCAAACATGTTGATTGTGCGTTCAGCTAAACTATGCTTCTGTTGCACAACGGGACACACTTTATAGCGACAGCGTTGAAAAGGGGCGAACCCCTTTCACCACTCCCAAAAATACAGCCGTCCAGAAAGACATCCGCTAAGACGAAATTAGCCGAAATCACCCTCCTACGACGCTACGCACTTTAGGAAAATCCATTGCGCGACAAAACTTCTCGTAAAGTGTTTATGGGCGAGGAGCACGCGCAACCAGCAGGCTTCTATTGCAGTCAACTGGCATTTCCTATTCCAATAAGAGACATCTGTTTTTCGTGAATGAAGTCGTGTAGGAGCGCCGACAGGTATTCTGTGCAGTCCGCCCGTGAGGCAGACCGTCCGACTCTGACGAAGTCAGAGTTGATTGGGCGTTGGTTCAGCGCTGGAAGGTGATGGTGAAACTAATCAGCAATAGTTCTAAATTTGGCTTGCGCCTACATAGGTATATGTCAAAACCTCAAACAACTAACTGAGGCGATTTGCAAAGGGTTTTACCATAATGTTGAGCAAAATATGATCTGTCCGCCCATACAGGGCAAACTTCCATGTTTAAAGTCATAGTCACCCAACAATGGTCAAAAGAAAATTCCTGCGGAATTCAATACGATAACTTTCCACGGTCACAGGTGTTGGTATTTTTCAACCTAGTAGCTATGAAACTATAGGACGCAGTCATTAAATGTTGAACAAATGTAAGCTAGTTCATTATATTTAGTTGCCTAAGGAAATTAACCATCTCAGAATATTTGAACATAAAACGACGCACCGACGACGTACAGGAAAGTAGATATTATTTCAAGGTTTCGAGCAGATCTATTTTAGTGAAATAAGGTCAACAACGGCAGTGCTTTCTATTTTACATATATGCAAAGAGGAGGAACACACCCTATGTAACCCAAATATCGAGATGGGCCTCAACTAGACCTATTAGAGACGCTTTGCCTTTTCGGAGAAATTTTTCAATTTATTGACGAAAAAAAAAAAATGTATACTGGCTGGAGTGTGCATCTGATGTGCAAATCAATTTGAGGTTAATGTTGGTTTAAAAATACTGCAGTCACATGCAAAAATCTCATTTTCATTCGATACATCATTAACAGATCGAGAACATTAAACTTCCTTTCACAGAAATAGGCCAATATCTGACTATATATAGGCTACGTAAATTCACAGTTTCACAAAACAGTTAGCAGATCAAGTTCAAATTCGCAGGCCGTCAGAAAAGTTGACGCTGGGTAGCTCATAACACAGTCAGTCGAATGATCTGACCAATGGTCTAGGTAGACGATGAGGTCATTCCACGCATTGGATGAAGTTACTATGCACGAAGTATAAAAGAATTGCCTTTTCCAGCTTCTAAGGCGCATAATCTCGAATTTTTGTTAAATATACGATTACGAAAATTGTATTCATTCAAATCAAAACGAAGAGCAATTGCCCTTTGAGCAAACAGGTCTTGACGTTAAACATAAAAGAGGACGTGATTCATTGAGCTGCGTGTAATGTAACCAATGATTTCAGATTGAGTCGCTGTAGTAATGAATATCACTAAAGTTTTCTTTTTCTTTTTTTTTTTTTTTTTAATATAGATATTAAAACGTGAAACAAACACAAAATTCAAAGAGCCACGTGGAACGTTCGGCCAAAGCTGCATCAGCGAACCCCATGAATAGTACCGCGAGCAACAATAACGTACGCTCATTCATAATCTCGCTTGTACGGAGTAACTGAATTAGGGAAATAACGGACCGAGCTCTTCTCTTAGTCAATAGAGCCACATACGATCGGAACCAGTATTCCTAATATAGCCTACATCGGCGGATCGTTTTCCACCGTATTAACTTGGATCGCATAGTGTACACTCTATTAGTAATTGAGGCCTAGATTGCGGAGGCATCTGCATTTACCCCGCTTACTGCTGTTGTTGGCAATACTTGGCGTTGATCCGAATGATTACTGTTATCCGGCAGTGTATTGTTTGTACGGCAGCCATATCGGCAACGTCGAGCACCGTCGTTGTCGGATCAATCTCGGGGGCATGATCATCAACACCAAACTACTTCCTCGTACTCTATAGTAACGAGGGCGGCAGCAAGCGGGAGGTCGTTCAATTCCACGTTCGTATCGACTGGCCGGATCGAACTTCTGATCTTCTGTTCTAGCCCAGACGATCTATTTTCGGAACCGTTGCCGTTTTAGGGGACAGCTATTTCGCTGGCCCGCTAGACCTTGACTGTGATGATCAACTACACCCCAAGGGTATCTTAGCTTAGGAGAGCTGCTTCTGGTGGGCTCACAAGTCGCCTGGGGCACACTAGCGCCTCGGGTGCTGTTAATGCTGTTACTGCTGCCAGATGAAAAGCAAACCGGCGGTTCAGCGACAAATCGGCCGCCGATGTATGGGACTTGCTCGGAGAGCGGGCGGACGGGTGAGGGAAAAGGCGATTCTTTCAATCTGCCACGTTACTTTAATCGCCGCTACGGTAGAGGCTCGGTCCGTTATTGCCGCTACTGCTAGCTTGGCTTGGGACACGACTCTTTCTTAATCGGTATTTAGTCAATTTATTGTTGATTACCCGCCAATTCTATCATCGGACACCAACTAATGAGCGGGTCGTTTCTACGGTTTTCGGCAAGTAGCACACGGGCTGCTTTAGCAGCAGTGCCAGCCGTCTAAAGAGAGAGAGAGAGAGAGTGGTTGAGACCATTCCTCATTCGCTTTCTGCTTACACAATTAAACTTTTCAACGGAAAAGTGTAGCTCTTGAGTTTAGACCCACTTCGAACGTTGAAAGGTACTCACGTGAACTTTCTTATGTACCGTTTGACAGAGAGTAACAAAATGGCACAGCCAGCGTGGTCTATAGTCTATCAGATGCGCGAATACATACACATACAGGTCTATATACATACAAACGGATAAGCTTGAAGACACAGACGACACGTGGCTAGGGCCTGAACGACTAGTGGCTGTGTTACCGTTGATATGACGGCCAAAGACGAATAGCAACATGAACGAAATAAAAATGCTTTCTTTTCTCGTCGTTCGTTATCGTAAGGTATACTATGCTATGCGAGACGTGCTACCAAAGATCAGCCAACTACCCTAATCGCGCATAGATCTGGTGTGCAAAACGTCCGTTTTGCTTATTTTCGCTTAATATTTTTGCAGTCAGCCTGTTTGATTCTGCTCGTCGATACGTTCGTAATTAGTAGAACACGGCGGTAGGAAAAAATGACAAATACATACTGGCATCTGATATCAGTGGCCGGGAAGACGGGCGAACGTACGTTCGCCAAACCAATAATCAGATGGATGGATCATCGACACACAGACGTACTTTCCTTCGTTGTGTCACGTGCTATCGTAACATCGGCATCCTCCAAAAGGAACTAACGTCCTTGTCGGTCGCTGCGATGCTTTTTTGTGTCCATTGCCTCAGTCAGACACAACCGGATTACTTACCATTTGTTGGAAGGCGCCGCCTTCAGCGCAGGCGAATCATTGATGCAAGTCCACCTGCATTGCTATATCGCGAGTCTGCTCTCCTAAATCGGCCATGCAAAACGCTTAATAATAGGATGTCCACGACACACGGCTGTTGCTATCGTAAAGGTCCTTGACTTTGTTAAACAAAATTAGAAGTGCGCCGTAATCAGTCCTTCTGGTCGGATCGTCTTATCGTGGTCAATGAATCTACTTTGCTTTCATTTAGTACGTCTGTCCTATTTCGTCTCTGCTGGTTCGCCAGAGACCGTCTAAAATAAAACAATATAATAAGTGGGTGGGTATCTAAAAGCTCTCTTGTTTCTGTTCCGCAGAGACAGAAAGGATACATCTGCTATCTCTGGCGACTGTTTTAATCTGACCACATTCTGTCTGTTGGGTCGGGCTATCCGGGGGTCTTCTTTTATAACCCCATCACGACGATCTTCCTGATCCTCCTCGTTTTTATCATCATCACCCTACCCGATCATTTTCTCGAATGCCAGCATTTATCTGCGCAGCGAGAGATGGGGCGCGGACCGTAGCCGTTGCCTCATCGTCAAGGAGGGATCCACTGACGGCATGACGCATCATCAGTAACAACGATAACAGCAGCAGCAGCGGCAACGGCATTGCCAACTTCGCCATAGTGGTTACCATCGACAACGACAACACGGTTGCTCTGTTGTTACTGCTGCGGCTTCTGCTGGTGCGACTCATCTCTACGCCTGGTTGCATCCCTTGTTATGGCGGTCCTTTGTTCCTCCGGAGCAGTGTGGCCGGCACTGGGTCTTCCCCTGGCTGTGCCTCCCTCTGCCGACAGCTGCCGCCAACGCGCCTGCGACGTTCTGTTCATCGCTCTCCTAGTAGCAGTAACAGCATTATGGAACATCCTTTCGGTTTTGCCAGTGGTCATCATCTGCTGCTGTCCCTTGCCTAGCTAGCTACCTACTGGTGCATTTGCACCGAGCTCTCGGCTCATCTATCGCCGCTGATGCTGTCGTCACAGCCTGTTTGGACAGCGAACGGTTCGCGTCACCGTTGTTAATCACTGCCAACTCGTGCTAGCGGTGTCGGGATCTCTGTGTCGTGCCACTTCTTAGCGCTAAATCTGATACTTCGTAGTTTTCACTCTTCTCTTCGATCTTTCTCCGTGTTACGGTTTGGCCGTTGTACGATGAGTCTGAAGACGTGTTCAGTTTGGTATAATACCGTACGACGACGTATGTGACTTATGCAGCCATTATTACTGTGACACACGCGCCGTGACGTGCCCGTTCTTTTAGTGCATGAACAGCACGTAAGTGTTCCGTGTAACTATGATCACCACATTATTAGACTATCAGCGTCGTCGAAGGACTACTATAACGATGCGTACGGCAACCGTTGGATCGATTCAGGGAAATTTTTGGCCCCATACAATGACTTCTTGTGATACACTAACTAATTGCAGTGTACTGCTTATACTTACTACAGCCTTCCGCTGCCTAGCTGCCCAGCAAACAGAGGCCTATGTGAGTCTTCGCCGAAAACTGGTTACTTGATAATCTTGTAGTAATTAGAGTTCCTCAAATGGCAGACACAAACGCGACTAGACAAACGTACGACACAGGTTAAACAAATATTCAGTGTAATTTTAGTCTACTGATCCCTTTTGTCTGGCAACGCAACCGTTTGGCGTCAAGTTAGGTAGTAACGAAAAGTTTTAATAGCGAATCTTAAATCAAAAGCTGGTGACAATGGTACTAATTATTGCTTTATTTCACCAGTCATTCAACGTGGAAAACGCAATTCGTTTCCATTTGGTCGACAGGAGTTACACATTCCTACACGATTGGATGAGCGAAGGATACTTCTTTTTATTGAAACTGAACAGCGGACATAATACACGCAAAGAAAGGTCTCTCTCTCTCTCTCTCTCTCTCTCTCTCTCTCTGTAATATCGCAAAGCTATGGCTCCAATTAGCCCATGATTTTTGCTAACAACTCTCAACTTAGAATATCTGCAGTTTTTTTTGAATTTAACTTCGGGCTGGTATAACTCCAGTAGTCCGCCAATAGACGGATCCGTTTGAATGCGCAAATTATTATTGTTAGCTTTGCAGTTTCGTAATTTACAAGTTATCCATACGAACATCTATTTTCACGCCTGCAGGTCTTATACTTAGCAGATAATTATACAAATTGATCATAGATACAATATAACTATAAAGAATAGCGTTGGATGTATCTTCGGTTCAAATGTATGCGTACATACAGGTTAACAGACGTATACGTAATTAATGCTTACGGGGAAAGAGATCCAAGCAGCTTTTTGCACAGGGAATATCAAGCAAGTTAAAGCTATTATACGGTGAACTGAAGTTATATATAGCAGGACCGGTTCGAATTCACAGCTTCTACGTTTCTCGTTTTGATTTTATGAATAAAAAAAAAAAAAAAAAAAAAACACAATTTACCATTACTGGCTTTCCCAGACACGTACTTGTTCTTTAAACGCCTGATTTGTTAGATGACGAACTTTCATTTGTTCGCAAGTACGCAGGGCCTTACATTTTTTTTTTTTTGTTGTTTTTTCAATATGTCTTTGACACTTTGTGGCAAATGAAAATCGCTAGAAAGCCTTGAACCGTATTTGATTATGTTAACGTAATAGGCCAATTAAAGAACATGCACATTGAACATATACTTTACTCTATACGAGGATGAGTGATGGGAACAGTCCAATAATAAAATCAAGTTGGAAACAATTTTTATCATGGCATACGGCGTAATATATAAGATTTACTGCGTAGACGGATCAATACGCAGAAGTACAAACTATCAGTTCGTTCTGTTAGGGACAAATTGAGCTTTTCTTATTTCGACTAGTTTGCAGGTTTGTGTTTCTTACCTAAGTACGAACGGCTTAGAATTCTGCAAGCACGGCTTGAGGTATTCAAAAAAGGTGGGCAAATAAACAAGGAAAGTAACTGTAACATTAGCAATATTCGCAGCGATAGTGAATAAAAACATCTCTAAGATTTCGCTCGTACATACATTTGGGTCGTTTATTTCTTTGGGCGAACCTAAACGACAACAGCTGAAATAGCTATTATTGCAACTGTTTCATATAGGAAACGGCTGTTTACACAGCCTTTCATAAATACACGTTTCCTATCCTGCGTAATATCGTTCGACCGTTGAAAAACAGTGAAAATAGTATTTTTAATTCACTACTAGTCAGGGCACATAGAGAACAAAAACGCCACCAGTCCTAGCGGTTATTGCCATATTTTTCCACACATTTATCACTTCTCGCCTACAGGCAGCTAAAAAAAATCGTATATGTAGGTAGAAATCCGGCCATTGATTTTAATTGATTTCATCCGAGTTCAGCGACTCGAAGCGATCATTTATAGGTTTAACGGCATAACCACGATCAAGCATACGTAAGGCGTATCCTACCATTGGAGATAATCATGTTTAAAAAAATGCTACGGGCTTGGCTCGTTTCGTCGCTCATTTTTTCTTCCTTCTGTCTGTTTAACGTGTCATATTTGTACTAATGATAATTTTGCGTGACGCTCAATTGTCGCACGTGTGTAAACAGAACCTCATTCTGGATAAGGCGGCGGTCCATATATCTCTAGAACAGGAAAGAGGAGGAAAAGTACTCTGTTAAATTAACAAAAAAATTCAAAAAGTCCTCGTAGCTGTCATCGACTGGAATTCCTTGATCGTTAGGGCTGCTGCTGCTGCTGCTGCTGCTGCTGCTGCTGCTGCTGCTGCCACTGATGAGGCCACTGAATAAATTGAAGTGACGGCTGGGCGCTGTATTTAAAATGTTCTTGGGCAACTTCAAGGGCGACCATGCCATGCTCCAGGCATTTGGACCACTCGTTGGGCCCCGATTACTCGTTCGTTAATTTCTTGCAGAAGAACGCCTTGTTGACAACGAAAAGCTACTGAAGAAAAATACAGCTGATATATATTTATCGCAGTTAGGGTATGATACCGAAGATAGGTAAAACGTTACATAGTTACATCAAAATAGAATGGTGATGCTCTATTGACCTCTAATCCTTCAACAAGATGATGAACCGTGATGTCCAGAATCTGTCACAGCATCCTAAAATTTCCATTTGATAAACGCAAGGCGGATTCGTCGTATTCATTATAATTGTGTGGCGCGTTTTGCGCCCGACCTTATTAAGTTTACAGGATACCTGTTTAATCATTTATGATCATTGATATCATCAGTGGTTCGTGAAAGCCAGCGACGTCTCTCGGTCCTGAGGACATCTTGGTTTCTTGAAAGAGATATATTTATTTGCAAGGACAAGCTAACCATAACCTTGTGTTGACAGTACTGTGATTAGGATACTCATTTGTACTATGTCAATGGAATTGCACGATTAGGTATTTTCTGTTTAGTAAATTCTTGAAAACATAGTTAAGCTTCGTAACTTCTTAAATTGCCCTCCGCTCTATATAAGTAAGCCTTGGGCCGGCCCCACCTGGCGAAAGCTCCACTAATGAAAATATATCAGGGAATGGTTGGAATAGTTGTTGACTTTCTCAAGGATCAAACATTTATTCATTACACTGCACTATCGCCTTTTGTTGTTGTTATGTCTCTGGTAATGATGAAGGCGAAAGCGACCGCGAACGATATCCCCCCACAAATACCATGCGTGCCCTGTCGCACACAGGCTCGTAAGAATTGCTATATAACAATACTGATCATAATGCGAATAGTGAAGCTGCATTAGCTCCATATAGGACAGAGGAAGATGGACGCCAAAAACATATGGTATGAACCCAGGCGCATTGACAGACAGACAGACAGACAGACACATGGGACGGACACGCTCAGGCGCAAACAGATGAATTTACTAACGAAGTTTCTCTGGCAACATTGTTCCAATAGTCGATGGCATTAGGAAGGCTACGCATGCACAACAACAACAACAACAATAAATGCTTACAATGGCTGGCTGGCTAGCTAGCTGCTGATAAAAACAGTAACATTTCTTGGGAAAGGCCAAGAAGAGTTGTTACGTAATCAGCGCTGGTCCGTCTGGGTCTCCTGAATCTTTTGTTATCGACTACACCATTTGAAAATCGCGTCTGGGGCTTCAAAAACCTGAAATTAACTTGAGAAAATAAAGCAGGGTTCTAAAATGGCGATGTGAATATATTACTGTTCTGTTTAGCAGTCACCCGTGTCAGAAGGATGCTCTGGGTATAGTTGGCATTTTAACTTGCGTACAAGCGCGACAGTAGAGATTCAGCGATTGTAGGCTAAAAAGAAAAGAAGAAATAAGTAATCCGAATAACTTTTGTCTTCCTCAAACGATCTATATAAATAGAGCATCATCTACGGGCGAGGTGTGTCGACTATGCTGTACTTGAAACGCCTACAGGGCAAATCGTTATTAAAACAAACGATAAATAATTTACTAGTACATTATAATAGCATCTAGTTAACAAGTTACACGTCAGGTGGTTTTCAGTGAATCCCCTTAGGAACGTTGAACGTTTAGGTTTTCCATGCTTCTTGTATGTGATCAAAAATGCACCGTTATGATCTGAACCCGTTAATTTCAATATATTTCTATACAAAAGTAAATCAACAGAAAGAACTTGTGACCCTTTATGCCAATATTTTTACCACTGCTATAGGTTCTCTGTCCATTTCATTGCTAGTACTTCGAACAGATACTTTGGTAACATATGCAATAGAATTACTCAGTTTAATCAAAGTATTATACCGATCACACGCGGATCGATCATAGAGCTCCTCTCTATGCATGTTGAACAAGTCATACAGGTTCAAGACTGAAAGGCTGCTCGGTGCGTTCATCGCTGAAATGATATAGTCACTTGAAGCTTGTATCCGGCAAATACCAAATCTACTATGAAAACAAATAGAGTAGCGTTGATTCTGCCCGGTTTGGCCAATCTGTGGATTTTATATGTGTTTGATTGTTATTATTCAGGCAGATTCAAACTAAATATTTATTTACTACAAATCTTTTTTCCATTGTATACGAAACGAATAGACATAGAGCGGGCGTGTACGCGCTGTGCCTGAAACTTGGAAAGAGAGCTTTTCCGGTGACACCACGTTGGTTTGAAATGGCTTTTGTATAAGAAAATAGGGCCATGTCTATCATTTTGCCTGTCCTCTTTGTTCCTATCCTCCCTCAGAGGGAGCTAATAGTTTGATTGAAAATCATTTCGAAAAAGTAGAAGAATACAATCGCTTCCATAGTCATGATATATGGAGTAATACATTTGAACTTGGTGTTTTCCCTACATACAATAGAAATCAATGGGTATCTATTCAATATGAGATAATTTAGCATATGAGCACTATACGCTGTCATTTTTTTCCGCCTATTAAAATTATCAAAGACAATCGTGGTAAATTCAAATTATCGAACGATGGAGTCTTTCCAATGCGACTTAATGGCCGACTAGATGATAATATAGTTAATTATGTATGGTATAATTAAGTGGCATGATT